CCGCCGCGTCTCGACGAAACGCTGGTCCTAGTCACGCCGCCTGCTGCTCGTCGACCAGAACCAGCCTCCTTTCCCCGTTGCTGCTGCTGCTGCTGCTGCTGCTGCTGCTGCTGCTGCTGCCGCTTGCTACCGGTGGGGCCGGTCAAGCAGTTCGGAGCTTCGGCCTCGTCGTCCTCTTGGGAGGATTTGGAGTCGTCGTCGGGGATGACGGTGGCGGTGTTGGTGCCGTCGCCGTCGTCTGCCGCAGCCTTGCCGCTACGGAGGTCTTGCCTGCTGCCCCCGCTCTTCTTCCCTGGTATCGTGGAGAGAGTACCGGCGGCGGCGGCGGCGGGGGTGGGATGCCCACCGGCACCGGTCCAAGTTCCTCCGCCGCTCCCACCGTCAAGGGCAACCGCGGAGGCTCCTGTGGTCGTAGCCCTACCATGCGAAGGCCAGGCGCCACCGCTGCTGCTGCTGTCACTTGTCCAACTGGTAGTCCGGTCTCCCTTCTCTTGCGCATCATCTCCACAACCCTCGTCATCCTCGTCGCTGTCGAAGAGTACCACCGGGTCCGCGGCCATCAGCACCCTCACCCCGCCCACATCGCCGGCACCGGCACCACCAGCACCAGCCATCGCCCGCTGTGCTACCGCCTTGCAGTCCTGCGGCGTCCACTCCCACGGGCGTCGAGGCCTCCTGTTCATGGATGCGGGTGCCCCAGGGCCGGAGAACGAGCCCGTTGCCGTCGCGACCGATCTCAAAGCAACATCACCTCGCGTTGTTGCTGCTTCAACCGGGGGTGCAGGGGCCGAGTACCGCCCGTCCCTCGCGCGAGTCTCCTCGAATTGCTCCGCCCTCTTCGTCCAGCTGCGTGCCACGACCACGGAAGGATGCCCTACTGAAACGGCGGCGCCAACCCTTCGCTTCTTCTTCTTCTTCTTCTTCGTCGCCACTGCTGTTATCCTCTTGCCGGTGGTGGCCTTCGAGCTCCGGGCAAGCGTCGCGCTACCGCCTCTCTTGCTGCTTGGTGGCCTTTCCGTGGACTTGGTGCCGCTAGCGTTGGTTGGATTTGTCCCGACGACTTTGCTGGCTTGTTTCCCTCCAGGCGGAGATGGGGCAGCAGCAGCAGCAGCAGCAGCAGCAGCGGCGGCAGCGCCGCCTTTCGAAGTAGGCGTTTTCTTCTCCATCAACACGCGCAACCTATTACAATAGGGATGGATGGAACAGAGAAGCGTCGGCAACGAGAAAAATCACAACAAAAACGACCAGCATCTCCGTCAGTCTCTAAAATCAGCGAACGAACCATGCACGAGGACCCGCCTGCAGGACAGGGCATCGCCAATTGTTGCATGAGATTCCAAACCCACTGGCCCGAGAAAGCGCGAATGCCTCAGTTGGCGGCGAGGAGTCAAAATCAAACGATATGGTTTTCGGAAAGCTGTCCACGGGATATGTTCCAGTGACGCCATTTTCGGCACCATCACTGCCGTTTTTGCTGCGGAGTAATCGGGCTTATCGGTCCAGGGGATGTGGTACCTTGCGCAACCGACGGTAGTACGGGGCAGGCTTGGCCTTGATGGTGCGGTCCGGTGAACCGCCTAGAACTACCAAAAACTTGCGTGCGTCGTGCCGCCGTCCGACTGCTATGTATGCATACCCCCGATTCATTAGCCATGCGCATTCAATCGTGCGTGCGTCCTCTGTTCCTGTTTCCTCGTATCTAACCTTCGTGGTCGCAAGCCACGCCTACGGTTTGCCAGTTCGGGTCCGGTTAACCGCAAAACTCGCGTGCTCGTCGGCGCTCACGGAGCAAAAAATGGTCGTATTCTGAAAGCAGCAGAATTTGCCACTATTATATCTAAGACCCACAGCCAGTATGGTACTAGCATCACCTCTATTCCGTACCGACGTGCCATATTGGCGCGACATCCTCTTCGAAATGGGGCATCAGAGATGTAATGCCTCTCCATAGCTGCAAGTACAGCAGTGGCGGAAGGGGACGCCGGTCGGTATGTGCCCGGCGAATCAACCGGCGCTATTCGGAGGGGCCGGCGCTATTCAATTTACAGAACGACTTGGTGATTTCAGTCTCTGCCCAGAAATTTCACCGGCGCTATGCAGGGCCACCGGCGGTATTCAACCGGTATTGTTGAGCGCTCACTATTGTACACGATTTGAACGCCAACAAGTCAACCCACGCGACATCCTCAAGTGATGCAATTGTATGTACCGCCGTATATGACACAAGATAACACACACCCTGGACCGATTTTCATAGCTCGATTATTCAAAAGCAGCAACAGTCGCAGGGCCGAAATCGGCGGCGTTGAAGCCGTCTGGTCGAGAGCTCTCTGAAATCGTATCCTTTCGTCTATGCATCCTCTTCGTCGTGGAGTAATCGAGCTTTGAAAATCGGTCCAGGGTGTGTGTGTTACCTTGTGTCCTTTACGGTAACCAACACCACAGGTGTGCAAGCCTGCTACGGACGACTCACTTCACGTTGGAGTGAGTGTCTGCCGTAGACCTGACAGCAGAAGGCGGTTATTCCCACGTCTGCATCTATGTAAGCGCAACTCTTAGTCATTCGACATGACATGTGGCAGCAGGCTTCGTCATCGGTACATCGACGCTGTACACCACACTACATGAAGCTGAACGGCTGTACGCTGCTATCCTACCCGTACATTACGCTGACGCCCTACCCTCCCTTGAACGCGGCACAATCATGTTGACGGATCAAGATTAGTGAAGAGCAGGGTGTACCGGTTTATCGCATTCCTTCTTAGTGAAGGTGTGTATTATTGTACTTGTCTTAAAATAGTGGCATAGTAGCCGAGGCAGGGCTTTACTGCTAGTAAGCAACAAGGGTGGAGAGGACCTGTCCCCCACATGTTGGTGATGACATGCCGAGAGAACCCAACCGCATAGCTACAGTATATACGCCCACTAGCCTATACTCGATTTTTACAAGTGAATAGAATGCTCAGCAGGGGAGGGGAGGGAGTTGCGAAGGTACAATATTGCGGATCGGAAAACCACTTTTGCCGTCTTGACGTTTCGTTTCAGAGAGAGACAGACAGACAGACAGACATAGAGAGACCACAACCCATGCGCACAAAGACCACCCAGATGATCGCATAGACTAGATAAGGAGAGAGGAGAGAGGGGTGAATTGTTGGGGACTACACCATACACAACTGCAGTAGCGCTGTGTTTTCGGTAGAGCCCCCGGAGCGTCTGCCCATGGGTACGCGTAGGGCGGCGGGTGTTGCTACACTACAATCTGTTTGAAGGGTGTGTTGGGAATGGATGCACAGTAGCAAGTGACCACCACTTACGGATGATTGCCATAGAAGGACGCGAGGGTTGTCTGGTAGAGTGCCCTGAGCTGCCTGCTCTAGGTACAGCAGTGCTACATTCGTGCTATCCTGTATCCAATACAACGGCGATGATGGTCCATTAAAAAATTGAGCACAATATACGCACTGCCCATTTACCCGTCTCCTCTGTTGCTTGACAGCCTTTTCTCACCTTGGTCTGTCTCGATGTGCTAATTTGTAGGGCAGGGAACACAACCGAGCTGCTATGTAGCTGTGGATGGTGAATGACCGGGATGATGATGTACTGCATACGCTACAGCAGTACCACGGCGGGCGCATGTTGACGGCAAGACCCCCCTCTCCATAGTATCATTTGCGGTGCCCCCGAAACGTTGCTGCAAGTTGCTGAACCACTCGACTCCTGTACGCTGTACGCATTTGCGCTGCTGTGGAAGGGGCTGGCTCGTGGTGGGTAAGTTCGAGGGCCTTATTGGGGTTTAGCGACGCGGGCCTTGAGGATGGTTATCCGTGTTATGCATTGTGATGAAAATCCCTATTGCGATCCTCTGCCTGACCTCTGATGGAAATGCATGTTATCTCCGTTACAGCGGCATCCCGTACTGCACGCGTGTTGCAGTAACGTATGTGTAGTGCCATACATAGGCGTAGAGAGGACAAGCCGGGAGTGGTGACGGTGATGGTCCATGGTTCACTCGTCGCGATTCTCGGGGGAGCGCATCCATGTAGTATGTGTGTGATAACTGGTTTACAGTAGTCTTTCTCAGTTCGAAGCTCAGCGAAAGTGTGCAAATCAACCATTGCGGTAGTTGCCGGTACAGTAGCAGCATCATCATCAACATGTTCGTTTTTCGTTTGTGCGTACCAACAACAACGCTTTGGTTCTCTGCTGGGTTTTGATGCATGCGACCGATGTACCGATGTATCCAGAGACCCCCATCTCTCGAGGCCCCATGCCCTTCCGAGGCAGCTCGCTCCCGAGGAATGAGGTTGGACAAGGGCAGCAGCAGTCGATTGCATCACTCTTTTCTGAAACCCACAGCGTAGTTGTACAGCAGTTGCAGTACCGGTACAGCAGTCGGGTAGACTAAGTACAAAGACTTTTCGGGGCGTTCAACTCGACAACTACTTGTACCGCTGTACCATACATGCATACGCCCCTCGTTCCCGTTACCAGCAACGAGCAAGAGAGTCCCACTGTTGCATCCTAGTATGTACGTACAGGAGTGAAGGACACAATGGAGCAACACGCGTAACTCGCTCAGATAAAGATGCGGTGGTCGTGGTGTCGTGATATCGTGATCTCGAAGGCCGACAATTCAACAAGCATTTGTCACTGCTCCTGTACTTGTATGCATACTCCCAAGAGCCCCTTGAACTGAGGCCGTCTACTGCAGTTGCAGCGCTGATAGTGGTGGGAACTACTGCTACCGCCGACCCCCAGTTCAGGAGATAGGACCGATTGTCAAAGCTAGATTTACTCAAGAGGACGAAGAGGATGTACAAATCCGTACCCCAACACCACCAGTTCCAGTACCGCATGCCTTTTGCTGCAAAGTAATCGAGATTTGTCCAGGGTGTGATTGATACCTTATGCTACCGAAGACATTTAGAGACGCGTTCGCAACAGCAGCAGTAGCGGCCACCTTGCACCCCCTCGTGCAGCCAGCGATGATTGCATCTTTAGCTAGCAGGCGCCAGCCGGCACCATTGTAGGAAAAAGAAGACCATGTTCATCGTTCGGATGCACAAGCTGTGTGTACGCCATCCCCTTCACATTCAAAACCGCTCCGATCCGATCTCAGTACCTTCATCTACCCGAACTAGTCGAACACCTGACGCTGTCAATTCCCGTGGTCACATGCTAACTTACCCAAAAAAGAAAAAAGGCATCCGAACATAAAATTGGACCCGAAGGTACCTCTTATTTGTTTGTATATTTTGCACCTTTTGGTATGCATATGTTCTTGGGAAGCACCTGCCGGGGTCACCACACAGGAGGGAGGCCAACATTGTAGTCTAGAGGAGTTTTTTTTTACATCTGCGGTGCTCGCCTTAATTTCTCGCCGCGAGAAGAGAAGGATTCAGTCCCTCCTGCCCTCGTCGTACCATACCATACCGTCAACTCTACTGCTATTTAGTGTACAGACGAATCATTCGCTTTCCAGATTTTCTTCAGCACCATACCATGTGAGAAAAAAATTCCAGTTCTTGTGGTCCTATGGTTCTGCTGAGATTCGAACCCACATCCCAAAGGCCATTTGAAGCAGCGACGTGCGCCCTGGCACGCTCAGATCTGCTGTTTCTGCGGCCACGTACGTAATACAGTGGGGGCCCCGGTTTTGCGACCCCTGGTGTCACGACGAGATGTGGCCGCTATTCAGGGCAGGTCGCTAACCCGAACCAACAACTAATAGCAATAGCAGTTATACTACCGGGGTGCGGCGGTTCCACGTGATTTGCTGGTCGCTAAACAGGGCATGTCGCTAAACAGGGATTAAACCACCCTCTCTTTATTAGAATGCTGCGGCTACTGTTGTTGTTGTTGTTGTTGTTGTTGTTGTTGTTGTCTTCACATTCAGAACCGTTCCGGTCTCCGCTCAGTACCTCCTAATGTCCGTACTGGTCCATCTGACGCGAACGCCTGTACGGTCGTAAAAGCCCACGAATCCGCGTGCAGCAGTGTGGTATCTTATGCAACCTGGGGTAGTTACCATCTTAGTCGCCACGTTTGCAAGAAAAGTAGTTGACGCTTCCATCCAAGCTTGCGTTTTCACGAGGACCCTCGATGCAACGAGAGCGCCAAAGTTCCGCCGGTGGTACCTATAGCGATGGCTGACAAAGCAGGCTGCGAAGAGAACATGGCTCGGGTCAAGCACCTGCTCGCATTTGACAGCACCCACCCGCCAGTTGACCAGTAACCTTCCCAGTTTTTTTTTCGCATTTTGTAAACATGTTGAATACAGAATACAATCGAGGGAGTGGGGTTAGGGTTAGGGTTGGGGTTAGGGAATATAGTCTGCGTCCCCCCTCCCTCTTCTATTTCCTCATAAACTTGTTAATCGCGCGAAGGCAGTCCCCGTTGACGCCCCTACCTTACACCTTTCCGTTCTCTACTCCGTGCTGCACCACCTAAACAGGCGTTTTGACAACAGCAGCAACGGGTGCTGACGACAACAACAACAGCAGCGGGGACGAAACCTCCGCGATTACATCCACCACGAATGAGTGACCTGGTGGCACCGACGCCCGCAAGGGCAGGCGAAGCTCCCGGCGTTGCAGCAGCAGCAGCTGCTGCCGGGGCCGTCGGAGGCGGTGCTCGTCCGGCGGTGGCGGAGCTTGCGGGTGAAACGGCGTCGCCCCCTCCGGCCACCTTCACGGCGGTGATCAACATCAAGTGTCCGGATCAGACGGGAGTGGTGAGTTTATTGCGGTGGTTCTCAAGAACAGGAAGGGTAACAACGGTATGCGTACGTTTGGTTCGTATCGCTTTGTTCGGGAATGTATCGGGGCCATTCAATAAGAATGTGATTGTCGGAATGGTTGCTACTTTTCCCAACAGAGTGGTAGCAACAGGGATGGACAGGAAGGACAAGAGCGGTGCAATTAGCTCATTACAACTGGAAGGATAAAAAATTGTTCATCACAATACAGTAGGGACGAAAAAGAACGGTTCATTTTGTTCATACCAACAGAGAGCAACAATGTTGTACCAATAGTTTACTTTGTGGGAGTTTGGGTGGTTGTTTCCCCGCCTTGCTTGGGGGCCCTTTCGGGTTCGTCCGACTTGTAGGTGTCTGCCTGCCTACCTGTCTGTCGGCCATCCACAGCAGTCAGTCAGTAAATTCGGCGGGACATACACATACCCCGGTTTGCTCGAGACGCAGGCTGTATCACTCAAACAAGAGCGTCTCACTTTGCTTGAAAGAAGGCTGTATTTTGCCAGGTTCCACCAACAATAGCATCTACAATAGCATCTGGCATCTGGCTATTGTAGATGAGGGTGAAACTGGCGATATAGAGGGACGAAAACAAGTTGAGGCGTTGTCTTTGGTTTCGTTCTTTTTTTTGCGGAGGGCCAAGGCCAACCGTCTAGTCCCAGGCAGCACAGAATCAACGTAGCACCAAGAATCAAAACCAGAATTGAGCTCCGATTGGTCGACAAACTCGTATGCATGTGCACGCTCGAGCTTATCACGAGGGTGGATGGAATGCCGAGCTGCACCCATTGTACTGCAGCTTCTAACCCACCCAAACATGCGGAACACCGCGCCTTAATTTTTTGTTGTTGTGTGGTTATGTGGAACATCTTGTTGCAACCGTGGGATAGTGTTCTCACCGGGATACATACGTGAAACAATACCGTGGAAATTAACTGCAGGTGGCTGCTGTGGCGCACCTGCTTCACGGGTACGGCATCAATATCGTGGAAACTGACCAGTTCACCGACCCCAGTTCGGCCGTGTACTTCCAGCGGTTGAAGGTCGACTAGTGAGTAACTGCTGCTGTGACTGTGACCGGCATCAATCGCCATCCCGGGAATCTGAATCTTCGGTCCGCACTTTTTGTTTTGGGGTGGGTGTGGAAGGAAGTCTCGGTGCCCAATGTGAACACTGCTATGTGCCGAAATTCTATTACAGGGAGCGCTAAGTTTCTGTAATTCGGCTTGTCGTTTTGGCTCCAGACGTGTCAAGCGCAGGCTGCCATCGACACACTGTTGGGTACAATCCTAGGCGCTCTATGAGGAGGGTATGCGCCAGACCGATCCACCCACTCTACGGGGCACTCGCGCTATTCGATGTATTTTCCGTCTTGAATATTCCACTATGCCATCCAAACCAATTTCGCCCGCCGTATCGCGGGCACCCGCCTTCTATAGCCTGCCTAATAGAGGGCCTACGACTGTATTGGGTTATCCGTTGATACGATACGATACGATACGATGCGATACCGGCCGGTACCGATCTGGCTGAGTCGTTTCGAATAGCTTAAGCGTCCTGCCCAAAACAAGCGAAGAATAAGAACAATATTCAGCGTATAATTCTTACGTAAAAACTCCACCCCCCTTCGTATCAATTCCCATGGCATCCTTGTCAACGAAACAGAGCACGGCCACGGTTCCCCCTGCCCCCCCTTTCTCCGACGGGGTACGCTGGCTTGCTTGGTACCTGAACGTGGCCTATCTCTGTATTGACCACTGACCGCTGACACCGCTTGTGCCCCCCCCCGCCCCCGCCCCCCGCTGCCGCGCCCGTCGATGCCGCTCTTTCCACTGCGACCAATGCGGTGTCAATCGATCAACGCCTGTGTCCTTCATACCATGTGGTATCACTGCTGTGTTGTATTATTTGGTGGTCTTGGGGTCGGGAATGTGACATCTATCTGGTGGTGGCGATGTGTTTCGTGGAAAGCACTCTGATGACCATCGGTGCCGCGAACACCGGGGTGATGGAGCAAGCCCTACGAGAGGTGATGGTTAGAGCAGCAGCCATGGCTAGAGCAGCAGCCACGACGTCGTTGTTCGTGTTCCGCATGCATACGGCCGCCACCCGCAATCCGCACACCACCCCGCGAGTTGGTTGGTGACGTTGTTGGCTGGGCTTTGAAACGTCAAAGCGAATCGAGTTTCGTGCGAGGCGTATATAGATATCCTCAAGACCTGTTTTTGTTGCTTATTGGTTAGAAGAAGGGTGTAGGATGCTCTGGTGGGTGGGTGTTTTTTGTGCTTGTCGCCCCGTTCTTCCGCTATGCTCTCTCTCCCCCCCCCCCATGCTGAACCACTGTTTGGATTGCACTCGATGGTGGGGTTGAACGGGCTCATTGATGGGCGACGGCGTAAACGGACGAATGGGATGGATAACACAACCACTCCATGCCTGGATGGACCAAACCGCGATCGATATATGGGCGAATCGATGGACGGACGGACGGGCGGGTATTCTTTGCCCGAATGGACCGACCAATTTGTCGAACGGATGGATGATGTATGTTTGGATGGGCTATTCATGACCGGACCAACAACATTTTCCAGCTAGCCGGGCGGTACAAGATGGAGTGGTCCATCACATACCGCAACAGAAAACAGAAGGTGGCTATCCTGGTTTCCAAGGATGACCACTGGTGAGTCAGTGACCTGCTTCTGTTTTTCATTGCACCGCCTAAGCGGCATGATAATACGCGGGTGGTTAGCCTTGGTATCTGCCACCCTTTTTTTTTTTTGGCTGCTAGCTTCTGTAGGAATCTGTGTCTATAGACTTTTGAACAAACTGTTTTTCGATCAGCCCTATGTATGGGTTAGGTAGGGGGGTATTTCATACAACGGCGGTGTATCAGAACCTTCCTTTGCGTGAGGTCATGGTAGAACCCCGCGGGTCCAACCTCCTCCTCCCGCTGATAGCCGTCTGAGATGAGAGGCCAGACGTCAGAGGGGAACCGGAGCAAAGCATTCCGCCTGCAGCAGCCGCACGTGACGTGTTTTTCCAAGCAATGTGGCTGATAAGAATGTACTTGTACGCCCTTTCCTTCATCTCTTTCAGTCTATCACCCCGAAGAGCGCTGTAAGTCGGGGTCCCCTTCTTACCATCATGGTTTCTTCGTCCCCGTTCCCCTGCCATCACCATGCCATGTTACGCACGCAGTCGGGGTGTAGACTACAACATACTGCCTGCTTTCTCGCGTTGCCTCACTCTTCTCATCACTGGGCGTCGCGCACCCTGCTCTTGTTCGCGGTTTTCATTTTGCGTGGCCCCTTGTTCACTCCGGACCTATCACCCTACAGTCCTTGACCCGCCCTCTGTTGTCCTGGTTTCAGTTGCCTTACTCCCTCGATCTTCTCCCTTGGTGCGCATTTTTCATTGTTGCCGCGGAATTTTCTCCCCGCGTGGTGATTCTCCCGAAACGGCACGACGGCGTGCTTCTTGAAGTCTGTACGACCTTCTCATCAGACACCGAAGCGGGGAGCTGGACTGCGTAGTGTCGACCATCATCAGCAATCACGATAAGCTGAGGTGATGCACGGAGCTTGTAGACTCGAGGGTAGGCACGTAGGATAGTTGTCCGGGTGTTTCACGCTTCGTTCGTGACATGTGCACTTTGCGACGCAAGTGCCACCGGTCACTTTGCGACGCAAGTGCCACCGGTTGGTTTGGTGGCTATGCTGCAAGGCTTTCATCCGTGAATGTGTAAGTTGAATGAACGGCATGAGCATTTTCGACCACGCTGGCGCTTTGCTACACGGCATCCATCGAAAAGACGATCTACGCCGAAAGCACCGAACGCGCTTCGCTCCGTCTTAGCTTACAAATTATTTCACCAAATAAACTCTTTTATCAAGACTCGTACGAAGGGAAGTTCCTTGCCACTTTCCGCTTTCAGCGAACAGCAGACGCACCTGTCCTTGTTCTCTCGAACGCCGAGCTACAAAGTGCTGCGGCGTGTTTTTCACTCCACGACAGCAGCGGCAAACATAGGTATCTTATTTTATTGTAATATATATCCTGTCCGCAGGATGTGCTGTCGAGACATTGCCAGTGCTTGCCCTCCTGTGCTTCGGTCCGTGTGTACCGGCGTGTCGTCTTGGACGGTATTATCCATGTACTCTTTGTGCCAGCTTCGTCTTGAGGCGTTGCTTTCCGTGGCACGTGGTGCCTTCTGTCTTCTGCGGGTTGTACCAGGAACGTGGCGGATATGTTTGGCGTCCCGTTTGCCTTGGGGCGTTTTCCATGCACTCTTTGTACCACCAACCTATTTAGTACTGAGGCGTCCCTCTCCGTGGTATGTGGTACTGTACCGTATGTCTGCTACGGGTTTTACCAGGAACGTGGCGGATATGTTCGGCGTCCCGTTTGTGCACCTGCCGATACCCCCGAAGGATCAGGGAGGAAAGCGGGTGCAGGAGATTCAGGTAAGGTTGCCACACTAACACGTATCGCGGTACCGTTCCTAGCACAATCGTGGAGCGACAGTGATGTACAAGCGTAATAGTGGTCCCTGTATACAGCTGGCCTTTTAGAATGTGGAAGAGGTTGGATATTCCATCTCTGCCACGCAGTTTCATCGGTGTCGTACCGTGCGACCGACCTTAATCAGGGAACCATTAGGCTCCGTTCCGGGGCCCCTACTCTGTAGTAGGAGTGAAGTGTAGGGTCCAGGAACTTCCAAACGTCCGTCCACTGTTTCAAATGCTGTTCGATCCCGATGTTTTTGTTTCAAATGTTGTTTGCTCCCGATGTTTTTGACCCGATGCAATGCGATCGACGATATATACAAATCCTCAACAGCAAGGAGTGAATAAATCTCAGCTGTCAATTATTGGACAATTCTTGACTGTTAGGTATTGTCGAATGCGGCCATGAAACCTCATCCAATTCCACGCTTATTGTGTTTTTGACCGTAACAAACGTCGCGTCAACACCGCTGCTATCGCCTGTCTCCTAGCCGGTTCTCGCGAAACGATCACAGTTCCACCTCGGCCCCAAAAACCAACAACACCACCACCCCTTTTTACTGCTGATGCACCGGTGACTTCCTCCCTCCCTTCCTCCCACAAACACGGGACAGATCGAAGAGATCCTGGAGAAGGAGTCGATCGACCTCGTGGTCTTGGCGAGGTACATGCAGATTCTCACCAAGGACTTTTGCGACAAGCACTGGCAGCACACCATCAACATCCACCACAGGTGCGTCGTCGTTACGCCAGCTGGGTACGTCCTGCATTCCCCTGCGCGGGCCCCCCTCATTGTGCTGCGGGGGGGCTGCACCATACGCGTCTTCGGGCGGCGCCAGTTTGATGTTAGGATTCGGGGGGGTACCGCGGGTGTGGGGTTTTTAGCTTCTGGATTGTGCTGACCTTTCGCGGCACGATTTGTTTTCTCTTGGCTCGGTGCACACGTTCGATTGTTCGATTGGCATGCTTGCAGCAAAAAGGTGTATGATACGACTTACAATAGGAATTGATACAATATCACACACGTCCCGGGACAACATTGTTATCACGCACGTGCCGGGACATTTGTCGGGTTTAAAGTGGAAGCCGTTGTGTCCCAACTGTTTCGCCCCGCCAAGCTTGTTGGTCAAGCTTGTTGCTGAGAGGCCGCTGCTGCCTGGGTTCTTTCTTGGTAGTCGATGCTGCTGAATGTGCCTGATTTTGCCTGTTGTTGTGGCTGCTGCTGCGGCGCGGCTGTGCTTGTGTGTATGTAGCTTTTTGCCGGCCTTCATGGGCGCCAAGCCGTACCACAAGGCTCACGCACGCGGGGTGAAGATCATCGGTGCTACCGCCCACTACGCCACGACGGACTTGGACGCAGGCCCCATCATCGAACAGGTGTGACATATGACATTGATGACATATTACGGGTACAGTAGGGGTAGGTTCGTTCTTCGTTCCTAGCGGTGTCTTTGCACTGCTGCCATTGCTACTGTACATTAGTTGCATGGCTTCTTTCAGTAGTATTTCGTGTCTCGTGTTAAGAGTGTTGCTCCGGGGTGTTTTTTTTTTTGCATTTTCGTTGTCAGGTTCCGTATGTATGTGTTGCCTCCCGCCCCACCTCAAATGTTCAGGGTTGCTCCGCCACTATTGCCATCATCATTGGGGGCTGGGTAGTCATGGTGCGGTTTTTTTCTTGGCCACGTTTCGACGTTTGAGGGCTTGGGGTTTGAAGCTTGGTGACGCAGTCACACGAACTACGCTGTGCAAAATGGCTCATGTTCCTCGCTAAAGCGAGTGTGTAGTTTTTATGCATGCAAAACAATCGACTTGACAGTCGACGAGGAGAGGAGAAAAAGAGACGGCTGAATGCATGTGGCGGTGAACTAAGGCAAGCACCAAGAAAAGGAAGATGAATAAAAACAACAAAGAGAAACTCCACGGTGGGGGCTCTCCGATGTTGCCCCGATTGGTACCTCCGAAAGCGAACCACCGAAAGGTTACCCCGTTTTTGTCGAGAATGAAATGGATGGATGGCACGCTGTCATCGCACAGGAGGTGCTGGATGGAGCGTTGCGACTTGCCTGGAACTGTTTTTTCCGTCGAATGGAAATTAAATCAGAATGGACCTCCCTAAACCCGCGGTTATTTTTCGCCCCTTCCGTGAATGGTTGTGAACAAACATTACCAGGACGTTACGCGTATCAGCCACAGCGACTCTGTGGCGGACATGATTCGCAAAGGCAGAGATCTGGAGAGGCTGGTGCTGGCGAGGGCTGTGCGTTGGCACCTGGCGAGCGCCGTCCTAGTGGAGGGGAACAAAACGGTCGTCTTCATGTCGTGATGGTCGTTCCTTCCTGTTCCTCCTCCGCCAGCTCTATCCTGGTCACTAACTCTTCGTGCGTCGACCTCCCACTTTTTTTGTGTGATTTGTTTTGGTCTTGTTTAGGTCTTTATTGTTCTCATACAGGCTCCGACGTCGCCGACTTACCATTGTAGGGGTCTTGATGCCGTCGTCAGTAGAGCCAACACAACGCCGCCGTTTTCCCGTATTTGGCCATCTATCGGCGCGTTCATTCGTTCAAGAGCCTTGATTGTTTTCGGTTTGACGTATGATATTACTGTTTAGGACGCAGTTGATGGGTATCAACGCGTGTCACTACATTCCAGCTCTGAGTGAACGTGCCGTTTTCTTTTGTTTTGCCGAATCTTTTTACCAAGTTTTTCCGCTCGGCAAGAACATGGTGATCTTGTGGGCCATCACGACGCTTGGTGTACCCACCACTTCGGTCGACTAAATACTCGATCAACGAGCGAGCTCAAGGTTTGGTGTGTGTGTATGGGTTCTTGATGTTGTGGTTCTGTTGCCCGCAAGGCGTTACATTGCCCAGGTCTGGCTTTTTCCCGACGGCTTTTTTTATGACTGCGACCGCCAGCACTCACTCCTGCTTGGTGAAGTTAGTTCAAGCACCTGAGACGAAGGTCCTCTTGAATAGTAGATGGGTTCAACTGTATCCGTGATCTCGCGGCCATGTTCTTACCTTTTTTGTTGTCTGACAATATTGCAACGAGCCACCGCTGTCCGTTGAGGGCTTCGAATCGCGTTGCTAGCCGTGGAGGCAGGCACCAGTGGCAACGCCAACCGTTTCGGTGCGAAGAAAAACATCACTACCATGCAGTCGTGTTGATTGCCCTCGGACCGGCAGCTGGGAGTGAGTTAACGCAATTCTCCTTCCATGATAACTCAGAATCTCCTGTGCGACCCCGACTGGTGGGTCCAAAAACTGTACCGAAAAGTGAAAGAGGGCCGACGTGCAGAATAAATGGGATGACAGAAATAGGCTGTGCTGGGGGCGCGAAGCGAACTGGAGCTGATAAGAGATTTGCGTAGGAGTAAAGTCACGTTTACGGGAGGTCTCCGTACGTCGATAGGTTGTACGATCAGCTCAGCTTCACTGGGGTTTGTAAGAGTTCTACTACTTAGGTACGAAATACTTGCACTTCGAAATACACCTGACGTCACATTACATTTGTCACACTGTTTTCGACTGACTGGCCATCGGAGGCTCGTCAATGCATTCCCACAACCGCTGCGTGCACTGTCTTATCTTCGCCAACGTGTATGTGCACGACACGGCACTGACGTGACCTGGCTGGGCCGTTGGAGAGCGGATCCCTGGTACAATCTACTGCGCCCTACGGCAGATGTGTCTCACTAGCGAACATCCATTCCACCAACGTGTCATTCGTTCGCAGAAAATCGATGAACAATCTCCCATCAGTGCGCATGTCTTCCGGGACATCTCCACTCTACTGCAGTACCGTTCACAATTTTTGTCCTACACATAGCCCCGGCGCTGTTTCGTCAGTGTTAAGTTTATGCTAAAAAAAAATCAAAACAAAAATAAGAACTATTTACTTGAAGAGCACCTTTCGTGAGCTGGGTCAGGACTCCTTACACTAAAACCTATATAGCGGACATTTGTAGCCTACAAGAGGAACTACTGTACTGTAAGGGCCCAGCCTCGACCAAAACTAGAGCTTCTCAATATAGTGCGGGTACTACCTGCGTAACAAAGACAATCCTCCCGCCAGTACATACAACCCCCAGGTCTGGATTACCCCCCTGCGGTGATCATTCCGGATCACTCAAAGACTCTTTCTGCCAAAACTCCCTCAATCCGTCTTCCTTCTCAACACTTGTCCCCGGTCCCCTCGTGCGAGCGTATGCCTCCGCTCGGCCTTCCTCAGAAGGTCTTGATGATCTTGCGCCGTTGCTTATCAGTCGATAACCTGCCCGGACGAACAGCAGAAGAAAATACAGGTAGTGGGTGGGATGTCAAATACCAGTGACCGACATAGTCCCGTTCATTCGGCTGATACAGAGTGACTCACCAAGCCATTCTGTACTCTTGCTGAATAGTGCCGGTACATATTACTTCCTGTGCACATACCAACACCAAACAGCCCTCCCCACTGTAGTCGGTTGCGGAGGCTTTCTTTCATGCAACAGCTTCCGAGACGTCGAGACAGAGTGCTTGCGATAGATACGCAGTGAACTCTTCGCGGGCGCCCGTTTCGACGTAGGCCCCCATCAATACTGTGTACGTTTGTATACACGAAACAGCAACGACAAAGTTATGGCGTCCCCACAAATGATTTCTATGTGATGCCCGAACCACAAAAACAACACACACACCTATTCTTATGGAGAGCACAGGCGGGAATAAACCCACGCTTGCACAATGGGTCACGCAGATATTGGTTCGTACTTGTATGGCTTCTCCAAACCTGAAAACACACACACACACACACACACACACACACACACACACACACACACACATGCTGCCCCCTAACGGGGTCCCAGTTCATGGCAGATATAAGTGTTTTGTGTTTTCAACCGCACTAAGACTGACGTCTTTTCATTGGTCAGCCGGTTAGCGCGGTCGATGCTAAGAATAAAAACGCACACGCACCCAGTTAAATTTCCTTCACGAATAACAACACCGTTGCCACACACGCATCACCTCTTGTCCTTGAAGAGTTTGCTTTGGTAGAAACCCGAGAGATCGTAGATGCCGAACTCTCCGGCCTTGGACTCCAGGTCGTCCATTTCCACCTCCAGGGACTCGGGAGGGTTGCTGTGACGAAGGCGGTAGTAGGTCTGCTCATCCCGGAACTGCAGAGGGACAGCGACAGAACCCCATGCGACGTACAAATAACGTTAGCCGAAGCACATAGTACAAGCACGTGGGACCTCTCAAGCGTTGCTGCTGTCAAGGGATTGAAGAAGAATCACCATCTTCTGCAGAAAGAACATCGAATACTTTCCATCTTCTGCAGAAAGAACATGAAAGACTCACCACCTTCTGCAGAAAGACATTCAAAGACTCACCATGTTCTGCATAAAGAACATCGAATACTCACCATCTTCTGCAGAAAGAACATCAAAGACTCACCATCTTCTGGAGCTCGACGAGAAGCAGGGCGAAGAAGTCGGACGGGTCGGCGAGATACTTGCGGAAACCTCTCCTGAGGGCACGCCGTACCGATATCTTCTGGGCCTGGATGAAGCTCTCCAGAATCGTCGCTGCAGAAACGGAGCCATTTGCACGGAGAACACCTTCAGTGATTCGCGCTTTTTTTTCTATCAACTAAACACTTGGGATACAGCATGCAACCGGGAAAATTAGGGACAGGGTCTGCGTACCCCCTCCCCTCTATTTCCTCATAAACTTAATTGCTCGCAAAGGCGGTGCAACACGGTTGGGAGGGGGAAAGGTGGTGGGTGAGAGCGAAGGTCTGGGAAAGGGGCGACGGCGTGTTGTGTATAGTCAGCGTCTGCAACCAGTTGTCCACCACCCCAAAATCACGATATAAATACCGCACCGTGATTGTTGTTGTACTTTTGTGCTGAATGGTGTCCACATCCGCTTGTCCTGTTGCTCACTCTCACTTTCTCTCTCTCTCTCTCTCTGTCTGTCTCTCTCTGTCTGTCTGTGTGTGTCCTATCTCTAATATGTTTCACTCTTTCTGTTTCTCCTCTTTCTCCCAGCCCTCTCCCTCGTGCTCTCTTTGTTGCTCTACCCTCTCTCCCTACTGTGCACACGACTCCCCGCCCTTGCCAAAGCTACGACAGTCCACTTGTTGCCTCTGCTACATAGATGGGGGGAAAGCGGCAACTCATGCCATTGATGCACGTACTGTATCAACCAACACTCCCGTGACGGACTGCCTGCAGTACGCAAAAAGGTTATTAGTTATTTCGGAAAAACACCAGGGAGGGGGCACGCAGACCGTAACCCTAACCCTGACCCCAACTTAGCCGATACTACACTTTATCCAGTATGTTCGCTTAACTTGTTTAGCAAAACCAGCGTGGCCAAAGCCCCAGTCGTCACCCGTACAGCAGCGATATTCTTGCAGAAAAAACGTCCCACAAGACAACTATTAACTCTCCGTGCCGTCAAGACGAGAACCAACCGAGAAACAATACATGTACCGTCTCACCAATGGCCACGTCCACATCGTCCTCCCTTACGCTCTCCCTCAGGTGCATTCGAGCCCTGGCTTCCGCCATCCTCATCACCGATTCGATGTGCCGCACGGCGATAGGCACGCCCCCCGAGGCTGAGCTCTCGCGGCGCAAGTCTGAGTACAGGCGGGCGACCTTGTGGACACGGCCGGGGGGGGGGGGGGGCCTACCCTTTTTTTTTTTTTTTTTCATTCCTTAACGAAAAAACCCTTTTCCCCCCCTCCCCCAAAAAACGGGGCATTTTTCCCCCTGGGGCCAACCCCCATGGGCCGCCCTTTCTTCCTACTTTTGCCAAGGGTACCCCTTTTTTTTTTTTTCTTGCCCATTTACCTTTTCCAAATCCCGAAATCCCGGAATTCCTTCCTGGCTTTTAGCCCCTTTTCTGGGCCCCAATAAAATTTATGGGGTTTTCCTGGCCCAAAAATTTTTGCGCCTTTCTTTTTCTTTTTCCCGGGGGGAAATGTACCTTTTTCCCTCCTTTTTGGACCACGGAAATTTTTCAACTTTGAAAGAACCCGCAGGGGGGC